TTTTTCTGAGACAGTGTTTCACTGTAGCTTTGGAGGCTGTCCTAGAACCCACTCAGTAGACCAGGCTGCCTTGAATTCACAGGGATCCACCTGTCTCTGCCACCCAAATGCTGGGATTAAAGGTGTGCACCACCACCACTAGGTACAAATACTTTATTGACTGTGATCTGAACACAGTGATCTTTTAGAAGTCCATGAAACAGATTTTTCATACCTATAAAATCACCTGTCCTGTCTTCCCTATGTTAAATATATTCAGAATCTTCAACTACTTGTTTAGCCTACCCTAGCCTTCACTATCCTGGCAATTCTCCTATAAACAGACAGAACACAAAGTCATAAATTAGTATGTGTAGCACAAATAATAAAATCCAGGGACAGATATTCGGGTTCAAGCTGAAGATCAGAGAAGCAAAGCAGACAAGCTATCAAAGAGCTTTTATCTCTACCAGGGCTGGGGCGATCCTGATCTCAATGTGGCTGGGGACTAATTGCCCAAGACTGAATACTGAATGCCCTGGTCCTATCTTATATACCTCTCTAGTACTGTGATTAAAGGTGTAAGCTCTGTTTCTCTTCTTAGATTGATTCACTCTCATGTATCCCTGGGTGGCCTTGAACTCACAGAGATTCATCTGCCTCTGTCTCCAGAGTCCTGGTGTTAAAGGTGTGCACCCCTGCCCAGGTTCTATGGCTCTGGCTAGCTTTGCAATCTGATCTTCAGTGGCTTTACCAGATCATAAAAAAATATATCACCACACATATTAAGTTTAATAATAGACTCAAAGTATCTGGAAGTTGATAAAGGAATAGAACAGAGAAGCTACACAGTTTTCTACATTTCAATGATTTGGCTAAACATAATTCATTCAATAATATATCCATCACAACATAGCTATTCCACAGCTAAATGGAAAAAACACACACAGCAATCTAAAGATTATATACTATAAAGGCTCTATAATAATGGGGAGAAAATTAACTGGAAAATTAAGCTGGGTGTTGGTGGCACAGGCCTTTAATCCCAGCACTGGGTGGGGGGGGCAGAGGTAGGCGGATCTCTGTGAGTTCGAGGCCAACCTAGTCTACAGAGTGAGTTCCAGGACAACCTCCAAAGCAATACAGAGAAACCCTGTCTTAAAAAACAAAAATACAAAAGCAAAGCATTATATCAAATATAAAAGTCATAACCATTAAATACAGATGCCATTTTAAGGTGTATCTTCATGTAAACACTGAGATAACATTTCCTCAAAATTAAATTCAACCCAGGCAAGATGAAATTCCCTTGATATCTGCTCTTGTGCTTAGGACAATCATTTTAAATAAAATTAAGCAAAATACAAAGCTAAGAGGAAGAATACTAAAAATTTCTTATTAGAATAAATCACGAAACATAATGTACTATGTATTAATTGTTCAAAAAAATTGGGTGGAGAGAAATGACTGCATAAAGTGGCACTCTGACCTTTACTCCTCTATCATGCACACACATATGTAATAATAAAAATGTAAAAACTGACATTCAAAACATGCATTTTAAGCATGTGAATGAGGGCAGTAAGCCTGGGAAAAGTGCCAGTCTTGGAAACAATAAAAAGATGTCCTTCAGTGGGTAGAAACAGATAAACACTATTATATATGAACAATAGAATATGGCTCAACATTAAAAAGTTGAGAAAGCAGAGAAAGGGGAACACAGTCCATTTTCAGTGGAGACATCTGACAACCACCGCTGTATCTAACAGTGCATTCAACACCACCACACAGATGGCATGTACTCCCTAGGATGATGTAATGAAAATAGCACTTCACTTCTGTGCTATTCTTTTCAAAAAACCTGTAGGAATCATGTCTAATCTGGAGAAAAACATCGGACAACTGAGATTAGGTTTACATTCTACAGGTCACACAAACAAAAACTGGGAAACAGCCGAGACTTGGGAACAAGACAACTGCATTTCAGATATCTTGAACTGAATCCTGGAAAAAGAAGATATTAATAGAAAAACTAGTAAAATCCAAATAAAGCCTGACTCTGTTTAACAGTTATTCACTAACATTGTGTTCTTCATTTTGACAAATGCATTACAGTAATGGAAGATCTGGGGTAATGGCAAAGGGGTAGGCAGAAATGGCAGCACACTTGTAACTTGTCTATACCTCCAGAAAATAAAGTGAAAAACCTTGAGAACACAGTCATAAACCCATTAGACTCACAGAGGTTCTTTGGAAAATGCTAGCCTTCTAAATTTAACTATTTTATGCCTTTTATAGCCAGTCTTTGAAATATAATTAAGCAAAAAACAAAGCTAAGAGAAAGAATACTAAAATTTCTTATTATAGTAAATCATGAAACATAATTTACTATGCATTAATAGTTCAAGAACTATGCATATTTAACTAGGAACATTTGCATGACATTATTAGACACACATAAATTTAAAACCCAATATTCCTTCATCAAGTTTCATAGTATAGTGTATTTTATAGATCACTGTACTGAGAAAGAGGCATGTTTACTACATCAGTGGTCTTATAATACAGAAACAAATGTTTGGTAAACACATCCCATACATGATCCTTGAGGAGAAGATAGCTTGTCTCCACCAGTATAGGTTAAAGAAACTAGTACCGTTTGGTTTGTTTTGAGGCCTCAAACTTGCTCTATAGGTAAGACTGATCTTGAACTATTGGTCCTTTCTCCACCTTCTAAATGCTGGGGTTACAGGCATGTGCCTAGCCTGGAAGGTTATTTATTTATTTATTATTTTTATTTATTATTATTATTTCTTATTTGAATTAGAAACAAGATTGTTTTATATGACAATCCTAGTTCCCTCTCCCTCCCCTCCTCCCCTACCACCTCCAACTAAAACCCTACCTATCACATATCCTTTCTGAGGATATGTGATACCCCTGGTGAGGCCTCTGGAAGGTTATTTATAAGGTTTATCTATACCTTGGATATAGGGTAAAAGGTAAAAAAAAGTAATGTCTTTTCAATGCAATATGGGAATAAAGACCAGTGCAAAGGTTATCACTGAAGAGAATGCTCTTGCTTTATTATTTCTTTACTGTGAAAGAAGTATCCTACATTATGGAGTTACATACCAATTTGTACATTTTGTCCTCTATAATAGCAAATAATTTCTTTCAGTTATAAGAAATAATACCAGAAGTTAGGGTTTATTGGTCTGTAGGACATCAAGCAGATTATAATTAATATAGAATTCTTAATTGGCCAGTTGTTAAGATTATCTATGGCCGTGAGGTGGTGGCACATGCCTTTAATCCCAGCACTTGGGAGCAGAGGCAGGTGGATCTCTAAATTCAAGGCCAGCCTATACTACACAGTCAGTTCCAGTACTCTCAAAAGATAAAAAAGAAACTTGGTCTTGAAAAACCAAAAACAAAGAAATTAGTTATAGAACAGGAGACTAAGGAAGAAGTCTAAAGAGTCTATTGTCTAATCTTTTCTTAAAAAGGAAGTATGACTGGGTGTTGGTGGTACACGCCTTTAATCCCAACACTCGGGAGGCAGAGGCAGGCGGATCTCTGTGAGTTCCAGGACAGCCTGGTCTCCAGAGTGAGTGCCAGGATAGGCTCCAAAGCTACACAGAGAAACCCTGTCTCAAAAAACCAAAAAAGAAAAAAAAAGGAAAAAAAAAAGAAAGAAAGAAAGAAAGAAAAGGAAGTAAGGCATACACAGACTTTCCAAAGGTCTGACAGAGGTAGAAATATACTCAATTTAACTTAGAAGACTTGCTAGTGGATTCACAGTGCCGTGTTCATTTTCTTTTTAAAAATCAACTGCTGGTGGTTAGGAGAGAGGGCTCAGTGGGTAAGAGTGCTTGCTGCTCTTACAGGGCACCTAAGTTCACTTCCCAGCTGGAAGATCACAAATCAAGTTCCATGGGTTCCAATGCCCTCTTCTGGAAACAGACACACAGGAATGCACACACATGCATGCACTGGCTCTCGAGCATGCAAACACACAAACACACACACACACACACACACACACACACACACACACACAAACCAATTACTGAGCAAAAGATGTTTCCTACTTTTTTGTTTTGATTTTTGAGACAGGGTTCCTCTGTGTAGCTTTGGAGCCTGTCTTGGAACTTGCTCTGTAGACCAGAATGGCCTCAAACTGATGGAGATCCTCCTGCCTCTGCCTCCTGAGTTCTGGGATTAAAGGCGTGTGCTACCACTGCCCTACCTACTTTTTCCCCCAAGTGAAATGAGCTAGTATCTGGCTCAGGCATAAACTGTGAGCAGGTACTTCCATATATATGGCCAATTACTTTGGAATTTTGGTTGCATGATTAGGATTTAAGCAAGAATAACTAGGAATAGGAGAAATTACAACTTCACATTTTACTGTTACACTTTTTACTAAAAACAGAAGTCTAGAAGCATGTGATTTTACTTGGAAAACATTTGGACATTTCCTTTTTCTTTTCTTCTTAGATTATTTATTTTATATGTATGAGTGTTTTGCCTGCATATGTGTATATGTACTATGTGCACGTTTGGTACCATTAGAGGTCAGAAGAGGATGTCAGATCCCCTGGAACTCAACTTACACACAGTTGTGAGCCACCATGTGGATGCTGGAATCTAAACCCAGGACCTCTTCAAGAGTAATAAATAAGCCGGGCGTTGGTGGCGCACGCCTTTAATCCCAGCACTTGGGAGGCAGAGGCAGGTAGATCTCTGTGAGTTCGAGGCCAGCCTGGTCTCCAGAGCTACACAGAGAAACCCTGTCTCAAACCAAACCAAACCAAAACAAAACAAAAGAGTAACAAATATTCTTAACCACTGAGCCATCTCTCTAGCATCTCACTTGGACATTTTTCCAATTGTCCATTAAATCTACTTTTGGTACACTAATGATAGAGTAACTTCAGCTTTTGGGTTTGAGCACACTCTTTCCTTTGGCCCCAAATCACAGTCAGCATACACAAGAAAAAAAATAAAATCTGTACCCTGACATCACTTCTAGGTGAAGTTGTCCTGAGACAGTTAAGAAAGCAGGAACATTGAAGAAATTTTCCTCGGGTACCTTTATTTTGCTTGAAGGCTGCAAATAAAAAACACAAGCCATGAAAAGCTATTATGCATCTTGCTTGCTTTTTATAACTACACATGATCCATAGCTAAAACAATATTGCAATTGAGCCTACATAAGGACTATTCCTTCTCACTAAAAAGATTGCATATATCTAAAACACAGCATACCTCTGTAGCATTCTAACAGCAAAGGAGTTTACCATGTAATTTCAAAACACAATAACCATAGGACATAGCATTATTATTATTATTATTATTATTATTATTATTTTGTTTTTCAATACAGGGGTTTCTCTGTGTAATAGCCCTAGCTATCCTGGAACTCACTCTGTAGACCAGGCTGGCCTTGAACTCACAGAGATCTGCCTGCTTCTGCCTCCTGAGTGCTGGGATTAAAGGCATGTGCCACCATTGCCCGGCAGGACATAGCACTTTTTCATGAATTTTTTCCCTAAAAAATAATTCTGATTAAGGGTAAACAAAGGCAAGAGATGTTTTAGGAATTAAAAACATTAAATAATGCAATTCCACATGACCTCTTTAACTTTGACCACAATTAAGACCTAATTTTCTTATGGGAGTAGCCTATAGAACAGTGGTTCTCAACCTGTGGGTTGTGGCTCCCTAGAGGGGTTGTCAGGTGACCCTTTCACAGGGGTTGCCTAAGACCATAGGAAAACACAGAACAGGTATTTATATTATGATTCATAGCAATAGCGAAATTACAGTTATGAATTAGCAACAAAAATAATTTTGTGGTTGGGGGTTACAACATGAGCAGCTATATTTTTGGGCAGTCAATTACATAAACATATATGGAAAATGAACTCATGTAATCATTTACAAGGTACAGTAGCACAATCTGTTTCCAGCTACCCAAGGGTGTGGTAACATGTTATTCATGATTTATGAAAGCTTGCCTAGGATTCAGAAAGCAAAGCCAACCACAAGCTAAAGAAGTTAAACAGAGGTGATACACACCTTTAATCCCAGCAGCCATACTAGTTAGCCAGGCAGTGTTGGCACACACCTTTAATCACAGGATTCAGGATTAAGAGGTAGACGGATCTCTGTTAGTTCAAGGCCACATGGACTACATGAAATTGATCCAGTCCTAAAAGAAACACTCACACAAAGGTGATCCCAGCACCTGGGATCACACACCTTTAATCCCAGCACTAGGGTGGTGGAGACAGGAGTGATATAGCTGGGCAGAGAAAAGAATAAAAGGCAGGATGAGACAGGAACTGAGAGCTTTTTGCCTCTGAGGATTTGTGGAGACAAGACTGCAATTGCAGCTTGGTAGAGGTACGATCTATGAGCTTGGCTGCTTTGCTTATCCCCCAGTTTGAAGCCCAATATTTATCTGTCTATGGGTTTTTTATTTTTTGTGTTACACAAGACTGGGGCAATAGGATGGCTTGTACCCATGAGTTTAGGAGACCTGGCAAATAAAGCAAAGCCTGGCCTCGAGTGTTAAAAAAACAAAACAAAACAAAACAAAAACCCCTCACAAGTACAAAAACCACTGCCCCAGGGTTATGAATTTACAACTCTATTACTAGTAACTGACATACTGATAGATGAATCTGAGAACATCAAAGTTAAGGAATTGTATTCAATAAAGCAAAGACAAATCTAACAGAGGAATGTTGGATTAAGAAAAAATATATTTGCAGCACATAAAATCAGTAAATGCTAACGGTGAAGAGATGGCTTAGAGTGGTTAAGATAGAAAGGGCCTGGATTTGGTTCCCAGAACTGACATCAGACAGCTCAAAACCATCTGTAACTTCAGCTTCCAGAGTCCCAATGACCTCTTTTGGCCTCTGTGTGCACCAGGTATACACATAACATATTCACACAGATTTACACACATACACATTAGTGAAAAATAAAAATAAATCTTTAATATTAGTAAGTGATTAATGAGCAGAATATATAAGTATCTCCTGCCTGGAAAACAAGAAAGAAAATAATCTCCCTAACAGGAAAGTAGATTTACAGAAAAGTATGGTTAAATGGCTAAGATATATGTGAAGAAGTTCTCAAAGTGGTTAAGAAATTTAAAAAATAAAGTTACAAGAAGGCATTCTAAGAACACTTGACAAATACCAGATTGCTAAAAACAAGAATGTTGTATTTTAAAAAAGTTATATGGCCTGGTGGTGGTGGTGGTGCACGTCTTTAATCCCAGCACTCAGGAGTGGAGGCAGGTGAATCTCTGTGAGTCTGAGGCCAGCCTGGTCTACAGAGAGAGCGAGTTCCAGGACAGGCTCCAAAGGTAAGGAGAAATCCTGTCCTGAAAAACCAAAAGTTATATCACATACAGGTGAAAATTCAGTGTGGCAGGCAGAACTCTAGGACACGTCCCCATGACTCCCAGATCCTTGCTATTTTCAAATACCCATCCAGTCACTAACGTAAATTGATTTTATAAATTCAATTGAAGTTCTGTATCAAGAAGCTTAAAGATCCAGAGTTTATTAAACTCTAGTTTATCAAACCTAATCACATGAGCACTTTACAAGTCTGATGAAGCTTTACCTGCTGGCTTCAGGGTTCAGATTTGTCTTTTTGTTTTTATTTATTTATTTATTTATTTGTTTGTTTGTTTTTTGTTTTTTTTTTTTTGGTTTTTCGAGAGTTTCTCTGTGACTTTGGAGGCTGTCCTGGAACTAGCTCTTGTAGACCAGGCTGGTCTTGAGCTCCCAGAGATCCGCCTGCCTCTGCCTCCCCAGTGCTGGGATTAAAGGCATGTGCCACCAACACCCAGCCAGGGTTCAGATTTGTAAGATGAGGATGTGACATGCTGCTGCTGCTTGCAGACAGAGACACATGAAAAGGCCTGAGATCAGTCTCTAGAAGCTTAGGGCAACCTGGGCAAGAGCTCCAAGAATACAGAGGCTGGACACAACAAATGCAAGTTACTGATTCTATGAGTAAAAGGAGCATCAGAAGACAGGGTCCAGATGAAAGCCAGTCTACTGAGACCTTGAATTCAGTCTTGTCACATCCCAGCCATGCCACTCTGGACTTCTGACTATAGAAGTTTAAGATAAATACTACAGTTTGTTTTAAGCCATTAACCTTATAATTTCTTATAAAGCAATAGAAGCCTATTTCATAAGAAACAGAAACCAAAGCTGGGTGATGGTGTTGCATGCCTTTAATCCCAGCACTCAGGAGGCAGAGGCAGGTGGAACTCTGTGAATTCAAGCCCAACCTGGTCTACAGATGGAGTTTCAGGACAGCCAAGGCTACACAGAGAAACCCTGTCTTGAAAAAACAAAAAATAGAATAAAATAAAAAAGGAAAAGAAAGAAACAAACGCTGTCACAGTATAAACAATTACTGCTAATTCTATAGAACTTGCTAAAGTTAAGAATGTATATAGGACCATACTGATGGCTCACTGGGTAGATGTGCTTGCTTTCAAGCCTGATGACATGAATTCTATACTTGAAATGCAAATGGTGAAAGGAAAGCATGAAGTCATGCAAGTTGTCCTACGACTTCCACACACACAACATGACACATTCCCTTGCCCCACACCCATGTTAAAAAATACATACAAACATACACACATACATATTTAAAGTCCAAAGACCTGGGTTTGACCATTAGCACTTCAACAAAACAAACACAAGCAACAACCTTAGGATACGCATTGTGGGGAAATTTTCACACAGATCCATTTGGGGGTATGTATATGTATCCCCCACCCCCAATACGTTAGAACTGGAAACAATCAAGTACTTTCTGATTGGATGCCTGTTCCAAAGGGGGAATTCATGCCTGGTATTGTAAAACTAGTCAAAAGCCCACGGCTGCGGAGGTCACATGCCTAAGCAAGGAACCCATTACCGTTGTTTTACTAAATGTGTATGTTATCAAACTATCTTCTAAATATTTATTTTTCCCTTTTATTGAAACTGGATTTTTTCTAATGTAATATATTCTGATTAGTTTCCCTGCCCTCTACCCATCCTCACCTCCTCACCCACCTGAATCCACTCCCTTTCTGTCTCTCATTAAAAAACAGATTTCTAAGAGACAATAATAAAAAATAGAATAAAACAAAAACTAACATTGGAATTGAACAAAACAAACAGAAGGGAAAAAACACAAGAGAAAGCAAAAGAAACAGAGACCCACTCATTTGCACACTTAGGAATCCCATAAAAACACTAAACTGGAAGCCATAATATAGTGGTCCTCAACCTCCCTAATGCTTCGACCCTTTAACACTGTTCCTCATGTTGTGGTAACCCCACAACTATAAAATTATTTTTCATTGCTACTGCATAACTGTAATTTTGCTACTGTTAGGGGCCGTAATGTAAAAATTAGGCCCTGTGAAAAAGCCATTTGACCCCCAGAGGGGTCGTGACCCACATTTTGAGAACCATGGCCATAACATGATGCAAAAACTGGTATAGATCTATGGAGGCCTAATAACATGCTGCTTCAGTCATCTTTAAGTTCCTATGAGCTTTGCTCCTGTTGATTTAAAGGCCTTGTTTTCTTGCTGTCCTCTATCCCCTCTGGCTTTTACATACTCTTTCCACCACCTCTTCTTCAGGGTTCCCTGAGCTGAGGAGAGGGATTTGATGAAGACAACCCATTTAGGGCTGGTTGTTCCAAGGTCACACACTCTCTGTGTGTACTTTCTGGCTGAGGATCTTTGTATTTGTTCCCATCTGCTACAGGAGGAAGCGTCTCTGATGCTGATGGCTGAGCAAGGAAGGGACTGATAGATCTATGAGTATAGCAAAATGTCATTAGGAGTCATTTTAGTGCTACTTTGGTTTTTTTTTTTTTTTAGACCAGTAGTTTTTGGTTTACCCTAGGTCTATCTAGTTTGCCTGCATGTATATATGTGTACTGTATATGCACCTGGTGGCCTTAAAGGGATTGAGTCTCCTGGAACTGGAGTTATAGATGATGGTGGATGGTGAGCTATTATAATGGTGCTTGGAACTGAATCTGGGTCCTCTGCAGGAGCTT